CCCCAAAAAAAGCTGACTAATAATGTATTTATCAGCATTCAGATACTCAGACATTCAGAGGTAGGGGTGAGGATGCCCTGAACTGATCCTATTCCAGGGCCTGAGCTGGATGCCATGCTGCAGAGGTGACTTCCAGCCACAGAACTGTTACACTGCTAGGTTCCCATCTCAGCAGGGGATGCAGTGATGCTCTGGGCCAGCTGTTCCCCACAGCAGCATTTTGGGCAGGACAAGCCTGCTTACAGAGCCATCCCACTGCACAGCCTGCCAAAACCTCCCCACGAATCCCATGGGAACCAGTTTTCTCCTGAGCCAACCGGTGCTTCCTGCTCCCAAGGCCTGATCCTGTGGGATGCTGAGCATTCCTTGTTCCATTTTTAAATTAATGAGGTTTGAGCAACGCAGAGCCAGAGACTTGAGGGAAAAAAATAAAAGAGGTGCTTGATGCTTTTGGTGTTTGTGTCCCCAGCTGGGAAGAAGAGAGGGAAATGTTAGGTTTGGGGGAAGATTTGAGAGACATCCATCACCTGGAGAACAGTTTTTAATTTGGGCATTTTAACAGGGGCTCGGCTCCATGGGGATGCCACGTCCCACACTCCAGCCTTCAGGTCACACCAGCGCTGTGTGCCCACTGAGGAGCAGCCCTGCAAGTAGCAGAGCTGCCATACTGCCTGCTGCTCCCATCCCATCCCAACAGAGTCCCCCTGAGGTTTCTAGGATGCAGCCCGGGATGTGGGGAACCCCAGAATCCTCCCTTGTAGCCAAGAGAGGACAAAGGAGAGTATAAACATGATCGCAACAAACCCCAGTGCCTGTGGGGCAGGCTGAACAAAGGAGGCTGGAGGAGCTGGAACTGGCACACGGCACAGGACCTCCACCTGGGAGCAGAGCATTCATTCAGCGCCGTCCTTCACCCTTCCCCATGCATTCAAACCGTACCTGGAGCCCGATGGCAGCATGGCAGCTCAGACACAGAGCTCTCCCAGCGCTGTGCCGTGTGCCCCCTGCGCAGCAGGCAGTGAGCAGGGCACTGGGATCCTCGCCGCCGCTGCAGACTCCTTTCTTCTCTCAGCCAAACAGCAGGGAGTTTTCTGAGAAACTGCCCACAGGGAGCGATCCCTTTTTCCAGTCATTAACCTTACACATCCCTCGCATTACTGGAATACTCTGGATGTGTAAGTTGCTGCACTGAGCTAATTCTTCCAGGTGACTCCAGGCGGCTTTAAATGGGCTGCACAGCGAGGGGATCTGAACTGCTGGAGCTGAAAGCACTCTGAGTCCAACGTGCCCAGCCTCCAACGGGGCTGTGAACCTCAGATGTCACCGTGTGAGCACTGAACGGCAGTGGGGACATGGAGCCTCTGGAGCTCTGGTTTCCAACCCACAGGCGGTGGGTGCCTGGGGTCCATTAGGAAGGAAAGTAGTGCAGATCACCTGAGATCGACCATGCAGGGGAAAAATATATACGAGTCAGAACTCAGGAGCAGCTGAGAAACACTTTTAACAAAAACAGCCACAGAAGACATCACATTTTACTCGCACTGGGGATGGGTGGTCACCTCTAGAGACTGCACAGCACAAACAGGGACAGTGCAGGCAGCAGCCTCCTGCTGAACCTCTGCTTTGGGGTACTGCAGGGTTCTGCTCCTCTGGGAGATTCTGTGGCAATGGAGATGTCACAGTCTGTTGTTTTTCCCCAGCTGCCCTGAGACTGGGAGAACTCTGAATATGAGAACGATTTTGGAGCATCCAAATGTAGGATGGTGCTCACAGCCTGGCACATCACTCAAACAGGCCGTGCTTTCTGCACACAGACTGGTGCCCAGGGAGGTGGGGGAATCCCTGTTCCCCGGAGGTGTTTCAGAGCCATGGAGATGTGGCACTGAGGGATGAGGTCAGTGGTCCCGGTGGGATGGGTTAAGTTTGGACTTGGAGATCTTGGCAGGCTTTTCCAACCTGAACGATTCTATGATTCCATTCTATGGCTCCACGAATCTAAGCTCTGCAAAGTCAGCCCCATACAATGTACTGATCAGCAGCTTTACCTCCTGTCATGGGGTGGGGACCACTGAGCATGATGGAAGAGAGACTTTACATCCTACAGCAGAAGTCTGCATGATGGACAACGTCAGCCATATAGGTAAAGCTCCATTTACAATCAGAAGCATGAAATAGCAACACTGAAAGTCAAAGGCCACGTGGCAATTCACAGAATAACGGCCCACACCACACACATCTGGGAAACCCCTCCACAAAGAAGCATCTTGAAATACGTCTTGAAACACTGGCATAAGGTATAGAAAGCAGTGTTCTAACGCTCCTGAGAACAACACAGATTTACATGGTGGCAATGCCTCAGTCTAAGCTTGGAGAGGCTCAAAATGCCAACGCAGACTTGCTGCTGCCCTCCTCAGGTGCTGCAGGAGTTCTGTCCTCCATGATTTCAGGACCCATCCTGGCACTGAGAAGTCACAAAAGGTAAAGTGGAGTTCATAGAGAAGTGCTCAGGAGCGTTTGCTGCCCTTGTTTGCTCTTTGGGATTCTTTTTGCTTTTGATTAAGAAGTGATACCATTCCATGGCTTCCCTGGAAGGGTTTAGCGTTGTTTTCTTTTTGTCCCAACTATTAGCTGGCTCTTAATGAACTTGGTGCTTGAAGCCTTAGTCCTGCTCTGAAAAATGCCTGCAAGCCTCTGCTCCAGCTGTGCTGTGTACAGAGTGCTGACACCTCATGGCCAAGAAAGTAATTCAGATAAGACCGTTTTCCAGGATATATGGGCACAAATTCTCCATCTGCTATAAGGCAAGAAAAGAGGTTCATTTATCAAGAAGTTTGTAATGGAGGGACCTGAATATGCCAAAGATAGGAAGGAAGAAATCCAGAAATGCTTTGAATTCTTGAATTACAAACACACAGCTGTATCAGGGCCCATTATTCACAGCTGTGGTAGTTTGAGCTTCCTTGACGCCGAAGGTCAGCTCTAATGCACTTCTTCAGCAGCACGGCTCAGGTACTGAACCACACGTGGCTGAGCTCATCGTCTCGCTGAGCAGCACTTGTGAACAGGCCATATCCCATCCGCTTCAGGGGCTGCTGGTTACCCAGCCCTGCTGTTCTGTGGGGCTCTCCCATGGGCAGATGACCTCCTTTGCAGAGTCCTTATGGGTCCTGCTGCTGCCCATCCTCTCCCTCAGAGTCCATGTGGCAGATTCGTCTCTCCAGGGGAATGTCCATTTCTATTTGGAAGAAGCTGTGTTATGAAGTGAAGACTCATCACACACAAGGCATTTTCTGATGTGCTCTCTGAGGCAGCAAGCATGCAGCACGGAGTCTGGCTTTGAGTTTCCTACCGTTCAACCCCCAAACCCCAAAGCAAAACCCCTGGGCACAAGCCCACATCAATGGAAGATGAAGAAATCTGCAGAAAAGGTGCAGTCTGATTCCTCAGAAACAGAACTGCTGTGCAGCACAGCCTGGCAGATAAAGAGCCCTCAGGTTGTGAATTTACAGTATGGACTCATCCCCTCTGCCTGCAGCACGGCTGGTTATAAAATACACATACATTAATGTGGAGGTTAAGAGCAAGTTAATTTACCACGGCACGAGGGCAGCAATGGGTCACAGCAGTGACAGATTGCCCCAAAATCCCCATTTTCACAGTGTCCCACTCCAAACAACAAACTTTTCCAGGTTCTCTCTCAGGATTTCTGCTTCCTCGCTACTTTTGGGTCTCCTCCGACTTTTGGATCATTAAACCACTCCTGAAGCAGAGCTCGAGAACCAGCACTGACACAAACACACAAACGGTCTTCAAAACTCAGGGATCGGAAGACCTGCGAGCTTTACGGCATCGCCAGGAGACACGAGTGCAGCAGAACCGCCAGCACCTCCCAGCCATCTGAGGAAACGCTGCACACAGGCAGCAAGCACGAGGAGCAACGCCGAGAGCTGCCTTCAGCAGAGCGCTGGGCGGCCGCCATCTCAGCCACGGCTCCTACCTGCTGACCGCCATGCTGCTCCGAGGCAGCTGCTGCTCCTTCCTGCCCAGCGGCTGCAGCTTCCCGTGGGACACTGGGCATCTTGGCAACAGCGCGGCCGAGATGGCTGTGTGGAGGCAGCCCCTCTTCAGCAAGCGGCCGAAGGAGAACGCAGCCATGTGAGGCTGCTGGGCGCCATGGCTCCCGCCTTCCCTGCGGCTGAGAGAACACGGCTGTGCCCAGCCCTGCTGGGCTCCTGCTGCAGCTCGCTGCTCTCTAGCGCCGTGCTGATGGCGGGGGGCAGGCAGTGCTGTGGGGCAGTGCTGTGGGGCTGCCTGCTGGGGCCAATGATGGGTCGGATGAGGGGCTGGGGAGGCAAGGTGCGGCTGTGGGGAGGAAAAGGAGAGGTTTGGTCAGGGCTGGTTGTGTCCCCAGGTGTGAGGATGGGGCCTCATCACCGCCTACTGGTCCCACAGCTCCTGCAGGAGAGCGGAGTTGGTACCTGCATGTGGAGGAGCCGTTTGCACGTGGAACGCGCCAGGCTCGTTACTGCAGGCCTCAGCGGGGCTGCTGCTCCAGGTGATGCTGCTGTAGGAGACATCAGTTTGTCCACACAGTGCCTGCCATCCTCAGCACGTGGCTATGAACAGCACAACGGCACGAGCTGCTGGGTGCCCAGCAAATAGGGCAGCGAGCTCAAGCCCCTGTCACTGATGTAACAGAAGATGGTGTTACATCTCAGACTGAAGCCCCATGTCTCCAGCTGATGCTGCAATGGCTCAGGCTCAGTTACCAAAGCCCTCGGGATGAATAGGAGAGATTAATCCACAGAGCACATGCTGCAAACCAGGGTCCCCCACCCAGCTACCAGGGCCTCGCTGCCAGCAGGATGAAATGCAGCTCAAGGCTTCAGATGGAAGTACTGAGAGCAGAAGTACATACAGAAAACACATGGCAAAGAGATGGCAGTGAAGGATGAAGGATGAACACACTGAGACAGAGAAGGATGAACAGTTCTTGTTTGTTTGTTTGTTTTCATTTTCTACATTTATTTTCATTAGATCAATGAATGCATGAAAGCGACGGCCAAGAAACAAACAGCCTACTGCTCTGATTTCCAACGGAAACAATTTCTTGGCTGACATAAAGCAAAGTTCAGTTTGTACCACGGTCACACTTTATAACACGCAACCTTCCTCTTTAGGGACTGAGCAGCAAGGGACCAAGGAATGGCACACTGCGTCACGCCAGCTTACTCAACCTAGAAGCAGAACAGAGCCAGCTGCTACCTGCAAGTGTGGGACTGGAGTTTCACAAGCATGGGGACTCCAGAGCAGCATTAAGCCAGCAGCAGCATTAACTCTTGCCAGTGGGACAGCAAGGTAAAACTGAGATGTTAAAAAAATAAAATCAGAGAAAGGAATGGAAAGAGGTAACATAAAAAGCACAGCTACAAACAAAACAGAAGTAGAATCAGAGGGACTGACTGGAACACACAGATTTGTTATTTATTATTTATATCCTGACTTGATCTTCCATATGTTACTAGTACTGGCAATCCCAACACGTTCAGTGCTCCATGTTACACAAGCTCTGAAGAGTGTAGAGCTCATCACATCCTAACAGCTTCAAACCAACCCTGCCAAGCTCTTCAGTGCTCTCTTGTTAAGGTAAGCTGATGGTGCTCAGTACCTCGTGTGAACAAGCCTTGTGGTTTTAAGCATTTACATCTGAGTCTGCTCCCCCTTTATGGTACTGCAAAATTTACCATTGATTCCTTTGGGAACCTGAACAGAGATTTAGCAAGCAGGCCTTGACATCAGAGCAAAAGACTCATGCAACTTGATTTCAATTCCTCTAAAAACATTACATCCCCATTAGGTTAACAAGGTCATGAAGATCTCCCATAGCTCAGCTGCAAAACGAAGGAAGCTGGTTCTGCAAGGGCACCACATCAGAACATGTAGCCCTGATTCTGCACCTGATGCACAGGGGAAGCAAGAATTCTGTTCAAAGCTGCCTGGGCCTGAGGCCTGGCTGTCCCCCTCTCAGTGAGAAGCTGGTCCATATGCACCTGAGTCCCCCCTCACACCCACATTTCTCTACTTTTGGTTTTCTGCAATTTCATTCCAGTTGTAAAAATGGATTCACGATACCAAGAGGAGTTAAGAAGTTTCCTGTACTTCAGCTCTTCCCATCCAGTTCCTCTGCTTCCCCTAGCTTCTAACAAACAAGATTTTCTGCCTCCCCAGCCCCACCCCACTGCCTTTACTGAGCTTTGCAGGAATCTTCCCAGTTCTGATAGTCATCAGCCTAACCCAGACAGGCTGGGGTTTCCCAGAAAAGTCTGGAATCTCCCCAAGCTCTTTAGTGCTAACAGAGTTGGTTAGATTTCCTATTCGAAGGAGCAAAAGAGACAGTAGAAATTGGAAAAAAAAAAAAACAAAAAACAAAAATCACCTCTTAAACTTGAAATCAGCTCTTAACACCTCTGCCCTGGCTCTTCTTTGCCTCTGGGCTACAAACCAGTGACAACTGGAACTACCTCCTGTTATTTTTTTATTTTTTATTTTACAGAAAATAGAATAGCAGGAAAAAGACAAGACAAGAGGCAGAAAGGACTTGATAAAAGAGACATAAAGATATGGCAGCATCTCTCAAGCACTCCTGCAAGCTCCTGTGAGAGACAGCTCTAAGCCTGCACACCTGGCTCACTGAGTGCAGGGTAACAGAGAGAGAGCAGAGCTTTCCACTCATCTCCAGTGTACCAGGGGGACTTGGGATTGTCATTAAAATTCAAAGGGACACCCAAACCTTCAGAAACGCTCTTTGCACTGTTCTCATAAGAAGCCTATCCTGTTCTTCTGCATGCAGCCCCTCTGCACTGATTTGGAGGCGCAGGATACTTGAAGTGCCTTAGAGCAGATGGAGAATTTATGTGACCACTGCTCTCAGTGGATGCACACCACAGGAGGGTGCACATCCTGCTCAGAGGATGGACATCAGCACGGACACATTCTGAGGTAGGGTGCCTTGCTCTGCTCCCTGGAGAGTCCTCAACTGCTGCTCCAAAGAAGGCCAGTATGAACCCAAAGGACTGAGACAGCACAGCTTCACTCTACCTTGTGCCATCCCAGCTGCTGGAGGAGCAGAAGACAGGGAGAGGCACACAGGCTGCCCAGACTCCTGGGGCTTGGGGCAGCCAGAAGCATCCCCCGTCATGGTATGCACAGAAGGATTTCTGGCCTCATGCTGTGAATCCAGCACAGCCAGCAGCCTGGCTCCAGGAGCATTCCCATGCCTCATGTGCCTGGGAAGTGACATCTGCTGCTGCAGAAGCCATGGCAACATGCAGGAAGCAGGCTGCTGGCAGAGCTGGCCTGGGAAACCTAAAGCAGCACTGACACCTTCAGGAAAGGGAGACGAAGCTCAACACCGGCCTCAGCTTGTATTTTCCCTGTGCTGTGCCCTGCAGGGCTCAGAGCCTACTTAGGAGGTTCCTGCTTGAGCTGGCTCCTCCGATCCAGCTTGCTCATGACCTGCGTGATGTCCACGGTGGCAGCAGCTTCTTTGGCTTTGGCTTCTTCCTCCTGCTGCCTCAGGATGATGGGGCTGGGGCTGGAGCGGAGATGACGGCGTCCAAATGGGAAATTGGAACTGGGCAGAAGGAGAAAGAAACAGAATGTTACTGAGAGGTAGAAACTCTGCATAGCTGGATGACCCCAGATAGAGCAGAGTCACCAATCAGAAAACCTCCTTGGGCTCTGAGGCTATGCATGGGGAGAAAGGCACTTGTCACATTGCCTGCTGCTACCTGACCAGGCAAAAGAAAGGCACCTCATACATTAAATACAGAGGTGCACCTTAGTATTTTGGCTGACTTTCCTCTTAAGCACTTTTGTCTCTTAAAATCTCTCCCAAAGAGAAGCCAGTGAATATGCCATGAGATCATTTAATGAGGAGGGCAGCGTAGATAAAGAAGCATACATGAAGTGCAAACACAGACTAAGTGGTTTAAAGCAGGGCTTGGTGATTCTGTCATATAGCAGCAGAACTACTAAAAGAGTAAAGGCAGCTTTGTTCCTGGTCTTAATGAGAGACACCAAAGCCAGAAGATGTCTAAAACATTACTCTTCTTGTTTTAAGCATCTGAAAGGGCCTGCAGCATATTCTGTACAAGGAAAAGCTGAGAGTCTTCTGACTCTGCAGTCTGGAGAAGGAAAGGCCGAGAGGTGATCTGAAAGCTGTTTATAAATATCTAAAGTGAGGGAGTCCAGTCAATAGTGGCACACGGCGACAGAAAGGGGCAACAGGCAGAAACTGGAGCACAAGAAGTTCCTTACTGCTTAAGCAAGGAGGTTGGATTTGATTTCTAGAGGTCCCTTCCAAGCCCTACAGTTCTGTGATTCTATAATAACTAACTTTCAGCATGAATCCAAACAACGGCCATCAAACTGAGACCAGTATGGGTGGTTCCCAAAAAGGCACCTGCTGTCTGTTTCAGCAGAACCAGCAGCAGTGAAAACAAATGTTAAAGCACTTCTGGGGTAGCAGCTCTCTCTGGTTTATACAGGATGCTGTCTGTGTGTTGTGCATCCAGAACAGGCGCTGAAAGATATGATGGTAATCACCAGGGGTAATCCAGCATCTGCCAGGGACTTTGTGTGGCTCAGGGAAAAACTAACCCAGCCCCAAACAGGAGGGTTTGTTGGTTTGGTGTTTTGTTGGTTTTTTTCCTTTCCACTGACTTGGGCTTTAGAAGAAACAATAGTGTGAAAGTCCATTATTCCTCTTTTTGCTTGCGAGGCTGACAAGTGGAAGAGGAACAGAGAGAAAAGCAAATCACCCGATCTGGCTTTGACAGTGCACGTTTTGTTTTAAGAAGCTACTGCAGATCAGATTGCCTGCATTTGCTGTGCAACTCCCACCTTGGTCAGAAAAAAGCCATTTCAAGCCTTCCCCTTCTCAGGCTGCCTACCCTGTATCACCCACAGGTAAGATGCCTTTCACCTTCACTGTGCAGGGTGCAACTAGCTTTGTTCAGGCAGAGCAGAGCAGAACCCATGGAGGATCCTGCAGCAGCTCTGCATCTCCTCTGGCAGCCAGTGTTTCATGGCTGAGAGTTCTCATGCCCAGTACACAGTGCTCTCTCCTTCCAAGAAAAATGCCATGATTAATGCAACAATCACAGCATTTCTGAAAAGACCCAACAGGCAAGGCAGCTGAGTTATCACCAAGCAGATTCTGATTGCACATGAGGCATTTCCAAAGGGCTCACAAATAAACAGCATAATGAATCTCAAAGAAAGGCATCTTCTCAGTGAAAAAATGTATTTAATTAAGCAAATATCTAAATTATAGTAATTTTGCTGTAACTCAGGCTTTTTCAACCCTTGCTACAAGAAAAGCAAAGCCCACAACTGTATTTAGTTTCACTTGCCTTTTTTTGACAGTTTCTTGTGGCACAACAGCCCTGGCCAGCATTTCCTTGTATACTGGAGACTTCAAATAGCGGCCATAGGAGTCCTACTAGGAGAAAAAAGGGAAGCTGGTAGTTATGGGCTTATTAAAATCACCACCAAATATATCTGCTCGGGAGCCAAGGAGGCTGGGAACTGGATACCTCACCCAGCAGCCCAAGTGACTTTGCATTTTCAGGCAAATGTGCTACTTAAACCAGTACCCTTTCATCTTGTAAAATTCCCAAGAATTTTCATCTCCTAGTAAAGCTTCCCAGCTACAATCCAGGGGTCCCACAATCACTGCAGGGTGAAGAATGTATGTTTCAGAAGCCAAACATTTCAGCAGCTGGCTTAAAATCAGCTTTTTCTTTCATTGTCCATTTGCATTAGCTGCTGATTTGGCCAACAGCACTCCTCCTTGCTGAGTGCAATTTGACCAAGGGAATATTTAGAAAGCAAGACTCGCAGCAGACACCAAACCTCGGCCACCTTGGGGGAAAAAGCAGCAGCAAAATACAAAGAGCTGACCCAGTGCTTGCTTAAATCAGCAAATCTGAGGGATTTTCAAACAGAGGCCACTCGACAGCGACAGCTGGTAACAGTCAAAGACATGGAAAGGCCCCGAGTCCTGGAATCCCCCTGAGGCTTGGAAACAAATAACGAACCTTTTTCATCAGCATGTAAATGTGGGTCTGAGCAGCATCTAAAACATAGCGATGAGGGTGCTTGAGGCCTTTCACCGTGATGCCCATTGTTGTGCCATCGATGTTAATCCAGCGCCTAGCTCCTGGAGCGAGGAACAGCCTACGAGGAGAGGTGGATCAACAGCGCCATTAACAAGTGAATTCCCCCAGATTCCTCTGTCTATGGACGAAAGGAAAAGTCCCTTCAACTTCCCACTACAATTTGCTGTAAATGATCTCGAGCAATTAATCTTCTCTCCAGCAAAGTGAGCTGTGACATTCAGTCACTTCCTCTTGCAATGTAACACACAATATAAAGCAAATTTTAGCCCTCTGGAAGCAAAAAGGGTCTCTCCACTCATCTTGTGGCAACCCCAAGACGTTTGCTATTCTGGTATTTAAACTACAAGCTAAGATTTCTCTTAAACATTATACTGGAGAGCAGAGGGGAAAAGCAGCCATGCAACAATTTTTAAGCTTTCACCTTCACAATCTCCATTCCTACATGGGCAAAGCCTGTAGGAATAAATCACAAGGGGAATGGCAACGTGTCAGGGAGGATACGAGACTCACGTGGAGAGTGTAAGAACGTAAGATCATCACACTCACTTGTAAATCTCTTCTGCTTTTTCTTTGACCTTGGACTGGTCTCCATATTTGAGATCCTCACAGGCTTCCCAGAAACTCAGGTTCTCTCCTGCACAAGAAGGATTCGTTGAGTACAGAGCGAGACCAAGGAAATCCCATGTATGAACTCCTAAACTGAATTTGTTTGATTCCATACAACACCGTCCCAATTCAGAATGTCTCTAATTCTTACAGCCACCCTAAAAATCTCCTGCAGGCTGAAGGAGGACGCAGCTTCCCACTGCCCCCTGCTCACTGACAGACCCGCAGGAGCACGTGAATTCAGCCCGTGGCAGCAGTGCTTTCACACGAGCGGCCTGCGCAGCTGCACTGTGCGCCCCGTGCCACTAGGTGGCGCTGCACGCACTGGCTGCACAGCGGCTCCGCTTCATGACTTCATCACAGTGACAGCGCGCGGCGTTGCAAAGGCACGGATCTCTCCCGGTGCCCAGGGCAGCTGTGCGCCCCAAGGAAGGAGAGACAAGGAACGCACCGCTGAACTCCTTCTTCAGGAAGAGCTGGAAGTTCTGCCGACCTTTTGGGTCCCGTATCAGCTCGTTGAAATTAAAAGCCCATCGCTCCACACGCATCCTGGTGGGGATTTCCACCCTGCAAAGGTTGAATACAAACAGTACTGCCAGTTTCATGAGGCCCATCTAAATGGCAGATTAATGAAAACCAAAATGTTGGAATGTCAGGAGACTCAGTGCTTTCTGTTTTCCAGAATGCTGTAATGAGCTCAAGTCAGCCCGCTAAGGAAGCGGTAATTAAACAACTCGGTACACAATGGGATGAGGATTTGTCTTGGACTTGTTCTGCTCTCACAGCGCTGGCCCAGCTTTGCTGGAGGGCTGACTCAGTCCCATCCTGGAGGAGGATATCGCTGCTCAAAGCTTCCATTCTGTGAAGGTATCTTCTGGGGCTGCCTTAATGGGCTATTATCACTGTAACAGGATTGCCAGTCTCAAATGAGAACCACTAATATGCTGTATGCTTCAATCCCAGAGTTGCTAATACATAATTAGCAAAAGCTATCTGAATAGGAACCAAGGGAGACCTCAGAGAAGGGATGGACCATCAGTACATGTCCCCAGTCCAAACTGCCTACTAAGAAGCCAAGCAGGTGAACGCTGAATTGCTACACCACTGGCAGGAGCTATATTAGCAAGGTTAATCCTAAATCAAGTGCTACACCTGAGCATAACTTGTCATATTCTACTCTTTTGCTAGGAAAACTGGGATAATTCAAGAGAGGATTTGGACAATTGAGCAGCTTCTAGGTGCGTACTCCCAACATTTTAGGAATTTCCACGATGTTTACAAAGGTTCAGCATGGATATTCCCCACTTCAGCCATGCCAGAAGGGGAATTGTTGCCCTGCTCATGATCACAGACTGGATGTCGTGATGAGATCAGCAGTTCCCCTTTCTGATTTCTATCAGCATAAAGGTCACTGTCAACCACAAGCTGGCAAAAAAGCTACGTACAGCTTTGCATTGAGATCCCAGAAATCAGGGTCATCTGTTATCCAGGGGTTGCTAGGGAGACATCCAGACAGGATAGGATCATTGGAGAGAAACTGCTCAGAGTACTTCACAAGCCTGCAAGTAAATTCAACAAAATCAAAATCATAACTTGCCACAGAATTGCAGTCAGACCCATTACAACCAAACGAACGTACAGACTGTGGGTATGCTCAGAGCAGCTGCCTTACCATGGAGATCTGGAACGTGGCCCCTGCCTAACTACAAAAACTGATTCAGTAGCACAGTTAATCTTTTGTGCTTCACAAACAGAAATCTCTCAAGCATCGTTCAAAGCACTGGTTTTGTCAGGTCAACTTCTGGGAAATCCAAGGCTCCTTCATCACCTCCTTTTGCCTCTTCAAGGAAGTGGGACTAAGCCCCCAAAAGACAGCTGTCTCCTGCAGCCAATAGGTCAGATAGAGAAATACCTGCCCCCATGCTGTTTTGTGCCACACATTGCAGAGAAAAGGAAAGCAAGCACTGCGTTGTCTCAGATTGGATCCTCTGCAGCTTCCCCACAAGGTGCAAGAGATGTTAGCAAGCTCTGAAGAGGTAAGGCAGTGCTCAAGGCACCTCCTGACTTCTCTCTCCACTGACATGCTATAAAGCCCATTCCCACACATGAGGGTGAGGGCTCAGCACAATGCAAAAATCTCCCTATCCTAGCAGGAACCAGACAAACCCTTCTACCTTCTGAGTTGGTGAGACTTGTAATTACAACCAATTTCACTAATGTCCTGGAATTTTAATTCTCTCCTCCCTTTTTCATTCTTGAAAAAAATTGTCTGGTTTCTCTGTTTAAAATTCCCTCCGGGCAAAACTGCTTTTATGTGCTCAAAGCAGGGAGTGCACTGTCCAAGGGCCTGTTGCTAACAGGCAGCCTGGCATAGATCCTGTGATTATACAATGCTTCTGCACGAAGTATAGCACAGGTTTGGCACAGAAGTGCTTGATCCTATCTTTTCACTGGAAATGCCAAGGCATTCAGCACCTACATAATTCTCTCCACTCCATACATTCTAATTAAGCTGCAAATCTAAACCTGTCAACTCAGGTAACATCGTTCTGTTCTTTTAATGATTAATGCTTTGCAGCTCCTCCTAAAGCAATGTGGTGCTCTGCATACTATCAAGTTACTGATCTTATCCTTGTCAACAATAATTTGATTTGGAGCCAATCCCACAGCTGAAGATGGAGATCCAACTTTCCCAAGTGTTTTTTGCTCCAAGTATTGGCCATACTCCTTTATATGACTAGTACCAATGTGCAACTTTTTTTTAAGTACCCCAAATTCCTGGAAGATAGACAGGTGTCCCCAGCTCCACCTCACAGTTCACATAATTGAGGCAAGGAGAGTTTTACGTGACCTGGGCGTATGTGACAGACAAAGGAGCAAAACTGCTTGTGCCTTACAAGCTGTGGTTCTCAAGTTGTGGTACAACTTCCTAGATCTCCCAGCCCATTTCATTCACCCATGACTGTCTTTCTATGAGGGAACAGGCCCAAGCTCCACGTTTATCTTGGATTTGAGAGGAGCTGCTGGATGGCAATAACACGTATGCAACGTGGACTGGTGGCGTGGGAGCTGCCAACACAGGACTTCAGGTGAGAAACTCTTCCAAACTGCAGAGCTGTGCTGATCCAACAGCCACAGCCCAGCCTGAATATCTCTTTATTTCAAAGGGAATCTTGACTGAGAGGCTGACACTGCTCTGCAGACGTTTATAGCAAAGCCCCCCTTAGCTGCTTAGTTTCCCTGAAGATGAGGACTCTGCCACCTCCTCTGCTTTGTGCCTTCTAGCACAGGAGCACACAGCCCAGCCACCAACGTACAAACAGGCCATGTGGCCACCGTAGCCATTCCCCAGACTGAGTCACCAGCTGCAAGAACAGACAGCTTCATCATCTCGCTAAGAGATGAGCACCAAAGACTAATTACTGTGTGGACAGAAGGAAATTGGGACTTACCCTCCAAGGGAGACGGAAGATTTCACTCTGGATTTCATGATGGCCTGCTGATAGTACATAATCTGAAAGGGATCAGACATGCCCATGGTTAGGAGAAATGAGATACGCAGACCAGGCCAACTCTATCTGAACAGCAGGCATGTCCTCTCCCAGGCAGGAGGGGGGTAATACCTGCAGTACCTACAACTAAGAGCTCCTCCTCCCAGTGCTTTATTGGATGTCCAAGGAACCACAACATCCCTAAGCTGTCAGGGAAAAATGGCCATTTTCACTGAGCTCGCTGAAAATACCAGCCAAGTGTTTTTCAGTGTGAAAGTAATGCAAAAACAGCCCCCATGCTATAAAAGAACTGCACAGTAGCTACCATTCTTGGCACCTAGAAATGCTCCGGATGATTTAGCATGTAATTATCATTGATCCTTGGCTGTCTCTACACTGGCGCCATTGGATGCATCTCCTGTGATTTCCCCACCACTAATTTTGATCTGTTGGATTTTAGCCCTGGTGTCCTTGCTAAGCCTTCAGTGTTTCCTCACATCACTACCAGAGCTGCTGCCTGCCTGCTGCAGTGGGAGGAAATGTGCTGAAATCACACCGACCAAAAGCTCTGTGGGGCAGAGACTCTGCCAGCCAAACCAAAGCATTCTTAACACTCCCTGCAAAGGAGGCTCTGATCCCTCAAGTAACAGTGATAAAAGTAATACACACACGTTGGACAAGTAGAAATGAAGGAATGACCAGTTACCTCTCTCCTATAAACATCCATTGTTTTTTTCTGTAAAAGAAAGAAACAAAAATAAAGAAATTGGGGCGGGTGCTTTCACTCATCCTCTTTGAGACATGAAAACATCATTGCACTGCTGCTGTCGTGCAGTGCTCTCCAATTAATTCTCATTACGAGTAAAATCAAACACAGCAGCGCAGCTAATCAGGGTACCATCAAAGCTAAGAGCATCCACACACCGTAAATTGTTCCATTAGCTGTATTTACTGTTAGCACTGCTTCTTCCATCACAGCCTGCCTGTATGCCTTCAATTAAAGGGGCATTCTAATGGAGCTAAAATAGATTCATTTATGAGACACAGATTAGATCATTCAGTATTAGGTAAAGGAGACAGGAACCAACACATTGCAAAATACAAACACCACAATTAAAAGCCTCAGAAGATGTATCTGCTGTGCAAAGGGTGCTTACATTGTGATTTGAGTAACTCAGACTATGTTACATGTCATCCACAAATGAGCAAGCAATTGAAGGCAAGAAATTAACTGCAGGGTGTTTATGCACACATCTTTCTTTGAAGCACAGTTACTTTGTGAAGTAAACTCAAAGAAGGAAAGGGAAAGACAGGCTAAATCAGAGATGCTCCCAGCAAGCCTTTAAAGGCTTTTGCAAGCTTTCAGTTCTGCGTTTCCTGTTCTAGCTAACAAGAGCCACACAGATAATCTGCAGACCAGAATTATCCTATCTAATTAACCCTGCAGCAGACAGTGGCCTGCAGAGTGCCTTGTGGAAGCACAGTGTCTGTCAGCCATCAGGAATAGAACATCTGCTGCCAAACAACACAAGCAACACAGCCTGCTTCTCTCCTCTCACCAAAGAACCTGCAGAGCGCTGCCCCTGTGCCCCTGTTCTGGGGAAGGCAGGATACTCTCCCAGGCTGCTTTTGGAGAGGCACTGATACAGACCTGATTTTGTATTTTAACCATGATCAGCAGCCCTACTCAGAAGGAATAAACTGTAATTGGAAGAAAAATGTGTACATCCTGTTGTAACCTGGATGTTTTCAAGAGGGCACACTCACCATCTCAGAAGTAGAAGCAGATCAGCCAATCTGTACAGCAGTGATCTTAACACAACCCAGCCTGGCTGGTGTAGTACTAACAGGAATCCTGAGTGTGTTGGCATTGCAACGGGAGGAAGCTTTTGTTGCTGGAAATACCATGACCAACTCTGAATGATGGATAATCTCAGCTGGGACAAACAGGACAGCAAACACTAGTTGCACCAGCAGAGATGCCCTGCTGACTGCACACAAGGAACTGCATGAGAGGGGTTGAGGGCTGACATGGCAGCAGGAGTACAAAGCTGCCAGACAATAGGATCATTGGCCACAGGGTTGTGCAGCTTCCCTTGCTGATGCAAAGGTTCCTGGGACACCTTATGAATAATTTGAAGACAAACACTGAGTATCAGCTTTTCACCCTCCCTGGCTCTTGGCCATACCCCTGATGGCAAACTTTCACGTAGGCATCACTGCTTCCCCTCTTTTTTTACAGTGTTAATACTATTCCATATACATTGTAGAAATGGAAGGCAGAAAAAAGTCACCTGCTTGCACAGAGAATCTAGCTTCATTTACTGACCTAGAAATGTCCGCATCAGAAAACTTTGATTCTGTTTCAGGCAACCTAATTCCTGCACAATAGGAGTTCACTATCTCCTTAGGGAACCTGAGATACAAATCAGGCCCCATTAGGTTTACAGCGTGCCAGCTGAACTGTTCCATTTGACGAAACTGAAGAGTGGCCAGGGCTTTTACTTAAGGAAAATCAACAGGTTAAAATTCCTAGATGATTTTAAAAGGACTCTGATGTCGTCTTCTGTTTTGTCAGGTGGGTTCCTTGACCAGGTGCAGTGCACTGGGGTGAAGAGAAGGTGGATGCTGGCATAACAGCTTGAAGGCAGCTCACATGGTAAAGCTGTATTAGTCTTCTAGAGGGATCTTAGCGAGGCAGGCAGCACACCACACACACACAAGACAAACAGCTGCTGGGAAAGAGAAGAGGAACTCAGTAAGTTAAATGTTACACGGAGTAAAAAAAAAATAAATTAAACTGTCCTTACTGCAGAGAAGTTGTGTATGTAAATTAAAAAATCTGCCACGTCTGCAAACAAATTATTTTGAAAGTGCATCCTATTCTAAGGATCCTGTCACAGCCTGAGCAGGTAGGTCAGCTCTCTGCACAGGTCCTGGGAAACCTGGGGGCTTCAGTGGGGTACCACAAGGGGAAGGGATTGCACAGAAAGGGGGCTATGGCACAAGAAGGCCAACACTGAACTGGAGAGGAATCAAAGCAGCCCAGCACTGAGCACAGTATCCATCAGCCCGCTGAGGGTTACAGGTGCTGGCTGCGCTCAGCCCTTTCCAGCCCTGTAACTGGGAAGGATCTCAGCTGTTTCACCCCAGAGCTGCACATCATTTCATTTCCCTTCCTCCCAAATATCCCATCCTTTCTCCTATCACCAGTGTTTATAGCTTTACTGCTGCTATAAGAAACCCTGAATATTCTGTGTCCTTTTGAACACTGCCAGTGGTCTGCACCAGTTTCCCCATCCTGATCTCCAGCTACTGACAGCGATGCCAAAGCACACCACAGCACCCATTCACCCTCCATCATCTGACTGGAAATAACATTTGGAACAAAAGAGTCATTTCTTATAATGAGATTAATTTTGCAATGCTCTTAACGAATGACTTATTGCAATTACTGTGGATAAGCTCTGCAGCCCTTCAGGCTTCAAATCAAAATGGCAATTAGTGATAAAACCTCATTCTCTCAGGTTGAGTGCTACACGTGCTCCTCCCTGAGAGGCACAGCAGCACCTCAACCCCTGTATGGCCTTGTCACCCCTTGCTCAAAGCAACCATTGAGGCAGAGCTGGGAGCCAGCCCAGGCTCTGAGCCCAGAGCTGATCCACGTGGCTGAAGCCAAGAGCTCCTACAAAAGCTGGGATTTCTCCTGCTTTTTTTTTTCTTTTCTTCCAACTGGACAGACCTCGTCTGCTCCCAGTGTGGGTCTTTCTGACCACACTGTGGAATCTATGGTGACTGTGTTTTTGCCTGTCTGGCCACTATCCAGCATCTACAGAGGCCAAGAACAGCTGGAAAACAGCTTTTGTGCGTACATCCAGCCAGAGCTTGGAGCAAAGAACGAGCACAGACCATGGTTATCCAGAGTTCATTTTTAGAGCTGGTCACTGCAAAAGCGCCTTGCAGTTTGCATCTCCTGAATGCTGGGAGTGCCCTCCATCCACCATACAGATAAACACCATGAGAATGCACTCCAGAGGCCAATCCTGTCTGCATCTAACACAAGACATCCAAGCATGCACCTCTGCTGCATTCATGTTTCCACCCCCACAGCTGGAAATCAGATTTTTAGATGTCCAGATGTCTGGTTTCCTTCAAATAGCTGGGTTTCCTCTATCTTGTTTATTTGCTTCTGATCCTGTTGTTTCAAAAAGAGTGAGGGTTGCAGCGGAAGTTGTGTGTTTATCAGGCAGCCAACGGACAGAGGCCTAAGAAAAAAATTAAAGTCCTACAACAAAAAGACTGCAAGGAACTGTTGCACGTAGCTCACTGCTGCATGCAACAGACAGTATTTCACTCAGAAGTCCCCAGATCTAGCACGGCGATTCTGGCCCACCTAAGCACCATTTAGAAAGGCTTTCTGCTTATAGAAGGATGCAGAAGCAGTAACTGCAGAGGAGACAGTGGGCTCTGCAGTTGCTTGGTAACTCACTAAGCAGCGATGCTTGATCATGAGCCCGAGACCTGGGTAACAAAAGGCTAAAGCAGCCCTTAATTAGCTGATCAATGGCCAGCTACTGCTGCCTTACTCCCCATCCAACTATAGCTCCTAACTCATTGTAGCAGTATGCCCACGGGTCAGTGATAAAAGTCCCCTTCAAATTGTGCAGCATTTGGCTGAGCACCTGTTTATCTATCAATTAGGGAGGGAGCCGCCCACCAAAGGGTCTGAGGCAATTGAAAAGAGATGTGTGTGCCAATATCAGCTTCAAAGAACTCATTCTGATGTCAGAAATGAATTATCAGCTGAATTACTCAGCTGTCAAGATAAAAGTAAACTAATTGGCCAGTATTGCCAAACTAGACTGAGAGGGAACAGAGTCACAAATCAAATAAATGGGTGCTGGATTCATGCACTTATTTTCTGCTTCCATTCTTTCACCTTTGTCAGAACCAGAGGGGCTGGGCTCACAGAAAACATCAATAGATACAACCCATGCTGCCTTTAGCAGGGGTAAGGCATGTCCAATAAAGCACGGCCCACTCTCTGCATTCAGAGACCTTGGGCCATCCTTCCAGCTGTGGCTGTTGAGCCACAGGTGCTTTTCTGGTTGAAGAAAAAAAAAAAAGCTGCAATTCCAACAGTGGATGTATGTCAGCCTTTGGCTGCTTCATGTACTGCCAATTGCTCTTCCAAAACCAAAAGGAAGAACGAGAACAACTCTTCCTCTCCAGCTCAAGCTACAGAGGACAGGCAGCTCAGAGATCAGTTTGAAGCAGAAAGGCAGTGAATCACCCCAAAGTTGGTGTCCTTTGGCTCAGTCCCTTACGAGATGGGGAACTGTCTGTTCCTCCTGTGCCCAGGGTGTGAGCTGAACTGAGATCCCTCAGCTCACTTCTCTGTTACCAAACAGCTGGCAGAGAGCTACAGGCTTTCAGACTGTTTGCAAACTGAAAATCTCCTTCCGTGTCAGCTGTAAAACTGTGGGCGAGATGTTGGCTTACTGCTTTTTTTCCCCCTTTCTCTTTCCTCCTCTCCTGCTCTTAGCAGCTGCTAGTTATGGCATGAAAAAAAAAACAACCCCAAGCCTACATTTTGCTCATTTTCAGTATCTATGGTAACAGAACAGAGTTGGTCAAAGCAATTATCCTGCCTCTGCCCGTTGAGATGTTTAAAGGCTGTTATAAAAATGAGAAGTTGTGGGAATACAGTGAGTGTGATGGCAGTAACATTTGCACTTCATTGCTGAGCCACACTTTGCCTTCACTTTCAAATGAGCACAAATGCAGGCTCCCTTTCAAGGGCTGATGGAAGAGAAGACAGGCTTCAGCTCCTCATCCACAGCTTTCATTTACTGTGAACTCCAAACCAGTCCCACCCAGTTACAGCCTCCACAGTCTCAGTTCATTAGTTCTGTTTATGGTCTAGCACCACAATATGCATTCTTAGAGAACATTTTGTGCGTCTGTCCATCACAGCAACTTCGCCTCTCACCACATATTACCTTTCTGGAGGTATTCTGTTTTACATATTTTAAAACTGGATCTATCCTCTGATTCTTCTTACTGCTCAAGCCCATACTGAGCTCATTCAGCACTAACGAGAAGGCAGCTACAAGCATTTGCAGATAGAAGATTGCTTCATTCAGCTTCACCAGCAGAGAAAGCATCTCCTGTAGCTATACACTCTCACTAATGGATGTGGCAAGAAAGTTGACAAAGTACTTTTTTGACAAAGCCAAAAGAAGCTGCCAAAGCTATTTTGAGGGCTCCACACCCTGTGGACAACGAGACAGCTTCAGCTTCTGGCCTCTTGGCTCTCATGGCTGAGCTGACTTGCTCTGCCTGCATTCTCTAAAAACACCACAGTGCCAGCAACACTGCCTGGATCCTCCCAGACAGATTCAACAGATGTGAAGAAATGCTTCCTCACCTGGTTTACCTTGTCTTCATTGGGATCTGTTACACGGTCTATTCCATACTCTAGGACATCCAGCATGCCGGGCTGTTATGAACAGGAAACATCAAAAGCTTTGCCATTCATTTGTTTTAAAGTCAGTTGGACGTACTAACACATGAGGGAATTCCCAAAGCCTGAGGGCTGTCACTCATTGCTCTCCACTGTGACCTTACCCAGTGCATGAGATGAACGCTTTTGACTGGAGGGCAGGGAGCACATCTCAGGCTGTGTGCTTGGCCTGGCACTGCCGTGCATGACACCCTCCCTGGGAATGCACTACTCTCCACATGGCTGCTGCAGCTGAACCTCCCTCCCCTGCAGCTTTGAAAACCATCACAGTGAAGGTGGTTTGGATGCAGGGCTTTCTTTTGCACCTCAATCTGGTTGTGGCTGGGAGAGCTGTGGGATGTTCCGTCTTCTGTATGTACAACATCCCTTCAAGCCTCTTCTCCAGGACTGTCACTGAGTCAGTTGATTCCTCAACCCTGTGGCCCTTTTTCACCCTTTTCAAGCGTTCCCTGTGGTGAAGCAACGGGATGCACACCCAAGCTCATGCCCACAGCTGATCCCCAACAGGGCAGGGACTTATCCCAGGGGCTCTAAGGAAGGCCCTGCTGAGACACAAAAGCCACACACTATCATCTGCAACTTACAGGAGTTCTGTTCACAAGCCAGTAGGCTCTCTCCTGGCAATCCAGAGCGTACCTGTCCGCCTTCTTCCGCTCCTTTCCTGCCCTGCAAAGCCAAGAAAAGCATTTCACTCTGCTGGAAGAAATCATGATTTCTTCTTCAAAACCCAGTAGGATGACAAAGTGGACACATCTCCAGCCTCCCCGCCCCACTGGGTTCCAGTCTGCCTGCCAAAGCTCTGATGCAGGCTCCTGACCACATCTTATCCCAGACAATTCTGGGCTGCAGATCACACAGTTCACATGGTCACACGTGACTGCTACTCCTCCCTGCTTCTAGCTTTTGAGAAATCATCATCTTCCTGAGCTCAGCTTGGAGCAGACACATCCTCTTTTGAGCTGACAGACAGCCCTTTCAGAGAGTCCCATGCTAACAACCCTCTCCTTGCAGTCAGTCTTGCTGCCTGATGTTTACCCATCTCAGACACTACCAGGCAGTATGTAAAGGCCACTACACAGAGGTCCTGCCCATACACATTCTGACCCATATCTCAGTTCAGCATTTCTCACAGAAACAACGTGGAAACAGCACCAGTTCCCAGGCACTACATTTCAATCATCTCCACAATTAAATAGAAGAGGGACTAGCATGATTTAGGCTCGAACCAAGTAATTTTTCTCCCAGACACATCCTGGGTACACATCAGCTCCAAGCATGGACACGGGAGCATTCCCAACAGGCCGTCTGCTGTGGCCATAAGCAGTGGCTAGTGGGTGCTGGCTGCTTGCACCACCAGCTGCAGCAGCCCCAAACAGCCCCAGAAGCATTTAATCTGCTTCTTCAGATAGTGCCTCAGTACCCACCTTTAAAACTGCATTTGGAACCTCTAAGCCTGAGTCTGACCTCAATTTACAAGCACAACAATCTTGTGCTTAATGAGACGGTTATCAGATGAGCTGTATTCTGACAACTTGGCTACCATCCCAGTGAGGACAGAAATGGCTGCTGAACAGTAGAGGTGGTGCTTGTTGAAGCAGAAGGTGAAAAAAAGTAGAAGGAATCCAGAGAACTAGGAAATACTTTATCTTCAAAGGAGTAACCCCATCTCAATTCACTGATTTTCATGGGAATTTAAGGGATTCAGCCCCCCACATCAAGCCATTTTGTCTGGGTACCTAAGAAAGCACTTCAGTTTTCTCCAGGAGTCTCTGCTGGGAACTCTTACCACTTCTTGATTCCAGGACTGAAGTTCTGCTGTGAGATTTGGGCAAACAATAACCAAACCAGACCAGTAACAGCTCCTACGTCCAGCGGGCTGACCCATAATGACACATGGCCATCTCTGATGCCTGAGCTAAAAGAAGCTATAGCTCATGAGGGCTTGCATGCTGCAGCATCAGGCCTTAGCTTCTGCAGGGAAACCTCAATCTCATCAAATGCAAAACCTAAGCCTCCTGTAGCAAAAGCCACTCACAAAGAGGCATGCCTTTGAGTCACCCACCCGCACCCCTGCTCTCACTCTGACAAACCACCAATTTCACATTATTGGTGGTCAAAGGACAGGCAGGGAGAGAAACACAGATGCAGAAGGAGAGAGTGAGACTCTGCAAGTCTGATGTCCACTCATTTGAAAACAGTCACAATCCTTCACGTGTGAAGTGCAAACTGAGCAAAGTAGCAAAGTTCCCACGTCAAACGGAAAAACCTGCAGCCTGATATGAAAGGCAGGTTTGTCTCACAATTTCAAGGGGTCCTTGCAAGTTATTTTAAAACTGCAGCTTATGCTTTAAACTGCAATTTAACTGTGTAACAGGACAGTGAAGCTCTGCTTTCTCATACCCACCCCTCTGATGCAAATAACAGAACGCAAGTCAACTCACTTATACTGCTCTTTGGCCTGCATAATAACAAAATCCCACTTGTAGTTTATTTTTTTATTGAGCATGTTGTAATGTTCCTGGAATAAAAATAAAAAAGCAGTTAGTGTGAATATTCTGGACAAGGCACTCCCATGCTAGGGTTTTCTTGACTCTCCATAGCTCAGCTCTAACTGAGCCAAGAAATCTGGATTGTGCTGAATGTAATTATATGAATTGCAACAGTTTAAAAATACCACAGCAAGGAAAGCAATTACTCCTGCTAAAATTATCATTGACTTCAGAGTATTTTTCTGCACCAGCCAATTTTTCACTTCCACAGTTTTGGCTTTTGATACCACTGGAGGAACACCTCATTGAAAAGAGGCGACTTTTTGCTACGCTTCATTCATAGCAACAGAGGGCTTCAGCTCTAGCAAATAAGGAGCTTGCCATGGAACAAGTACAGAACCTCCTCACCTTTTCATACTCTTCTAAAATCCCTTTCCTCTTGATGTTCTTCTTTGCTAGGTAAATTGCTGTGGAGGGAGAAACAAGTAAGCAGTCAGTTCTACTTAGGCAAACAACTCCAAGAATAATTAATAAATTGCCTACACTGCAAATACAGGAGTCTTCATTACAGAATCCTTCTGAGCATGAGCTGCAGGCTCACAAAAGCTCACCGAAGAGAAACAAACTTTGTGCTTTGCCATCAGTACCACACAAACCATGGTATGGGTGGGAGCAGCCACGTGCAACTGGTGCTGCGTGCCTTCCACCAGCAGCTGCTCCTCCTTTGGGAACTCGGCCAGGATTTCATGGGCCACAGTATGTTGAGCCAAATCTTTAAAATACTGAGGTTGTCAGAGCTCGTCCTCCACGTTTTCCAAAAGCAGGCCAATGTTTTGTTTCAACTTCTATTAAAAACATTCCCGTGTAGAATGTGCTCTTTTTCAGATCTACAGCATAATGTAGATAAAAACCACAGAGGACAACCTTGGTATAAACAAACCCATCTGCGAACTGCACAGCCTAAAGGAGTAATTAAGCTGATCAGCCCAAGGTTCATGACCAGCCCTATGATAAAAGGCATTACAACGGCAGCAAAAGAGTGAAGGGAAGAGGTGTCAAGAGATATTGGCAGTCAGTGCACATTATGTAAAGAAAGAATCATCTCTGAATGCAGGGCTTGATCCAAACCTACAGAAGACAGTTTTGGGCTCACATCCAGGAATATACTTAACTACTCAGGGAAACCCAACCTTGCGTTTAAAGTCTTCCCAACCCAGCAGAGTATTTTAGACACTTTCCAGTCCTACGTCTCTGGTTGGAACGTAAGAGAAGGATAAGGCCTTACATCAAAGGCACACGAGGTGCACGCATCCAGAGCATTCCCTCAGCTCAGCATCACTCAGAGTCATTCACAAGATAAAATAAGCACAAGGGCTGGTCACACCATGTGGAAAGGCAGCAAGAAAAGACAAAGAGCAAGCACAATGCAGGACTGCCTACACAAACACTTGTACCAGAATTACCTCTCCTAAATACAAAGCTATCACTTACCATAGTCGGTGTCATCAGCAGGCCAGCTTTGTGCGGGCCAGAAATACGGGGTCTGCAGGAGAACAAGTCTCTTGTTAGTGCAGAGCAGCCGTGAGCTCATGCCAAGTGGCACACAGCACTGCCTGACTGGAAGCAGAGAACAGCTTTTCTCCGCCATACCCAGACCTCAGCTCCTCAGCTGTGTCTCAGTACGCACAGTGGTGCAGGCCAGCTACAGCATGAGAATTTAAGTCAGACTGACAATTTCAAATCCACTTCTGCTCTACAGTCAGTGTGTCCAAGCTTTCCCTGCCGCATGAACATTTAGACTGAGATGCTGGAGCATGATACGGCTCATTAGTACTTTCTCATTTAAAGTACTAACGAGAGCAGGCTAATTTCCCATCACAGCAGAAATTCTCCAACTGAGAACCTTGAAAAAAATCTCATTATCACTGTGGGTTTGTGTGTATCCATTATTCATTCTCCCCAGATCATTCTACAATCAACCATGTTTGATATATATATCAAACGTAGCAAATATTCCATTTGCTATGACAAACCTGGAAGGAAACATATCTGGAAGAACTCTCAGCTATTTTAGTTGAGCTGGAGCAGTAACTAAAACTTAGAGGAATATCATCGTTTGACTGTAATCTGTGCTCTGATACACAGGAATGACATCTGACTGGGTGAACCAGCATCAAGCTGCTCTGTGGATCCCTTTTCCTCCTCTACACTGGATGATCAGCATGGCTGCACAGCAGGGACTCATGGCTCCAACTCCTGGGGAATTGCCCTAGGTGCCTGCATTCAAAACTTGTGTTGAACTCCCTCACGGTGGCATTAGACAAAGTGCAACTCACTTGAAACCTGTACAGGCTGCCATCTGTCCTGAGGGTGAGATTCTTTGGCTCCTGAAGAGGGTAGATGTAGCCATATTTGACAAACAGGTCCCCCAGGTGCAATGCCTCTGAAAATAGGGAAGGTAGAAGTTTTGATTGCATGGGAACACTGCACTGGAATTTAGAAGTGAGCTGCTAGTCAGGAGAGAAGGATTCATCTAGGAGATTTGTCTATGGAGATCTTAAAGTCTTACAACCCTAATCCGGAAAGGCATCATTACCTTACATTTCTACCCACCTTCATTAGTGATCTGTAAACGCTGGAGAATCCACTGAAATATATCATTACCTGCAAAGCAAAGAAAATACTGGGCACTTGAAACCAGAAGTGTACAATTGTGGGTCAAAATGATAGCTTTCCAGTCCTCACCCCTAACACAGCCTGGGAGCTCAGCAACTGCAGATTCCTCCCTGCAAATGTTTCTCTTGCATGACACATTTGAGAGCACACAGATAAAATGCACAACATCTCACTGGCCATGCTGTCACTCTGGCTTTCTTCTGGCCAAGCAGGAGCCAGTCTGTGGGAGTGGGAGCACAGGGCAGCAATGAGCTCAGGATGACACGCTATGAGCGTGCAGAAGACCCACGTGGTCTAAGCAACATTTAAACCCTAATCATTGGCTTAGAAAGGACTTAAGCAATACAACAGCTTACACCCTCAAGGAAGAGTAAGCGTCCCTTGTTCTGCACTATCTTGTCTTGGAAGTTTCACTGCATAGTATCTCCAGATTCACAGAGCATGGTTCTGTCTCAGTTTGAGTTAGAGCCCAGTGACTAGTCTGCTCTGGTGCTTTATGGAATGCGACCTTCACAGCAGAAGGGATGTCCGAGTCTCAGATCCAGGTTGCAGTGATAACAGGATATATTAAAAGCAAATGAGTTCTCTTCATCTGCAAACACTGCAGCTCTCCCAGTTCTTCTCTTGGGATGTGGTCAGTCATACCCAAAGTCAGCACAGATCTCCAGGGGTTTTATTTTCACATTCTGGGAGGCAGAATCTCCTTCTGCTTCAATAGGGCCAAGCAGAAATGCACTCAAACCCTGATCAGTTATTGGTCTCTTCTCCCCAAAGTCCCCTAGGATTGTAGATTGTGATGCTAACCTTTCTTGACATTGCAGTGATGACTTAACTTTCTAATAAGGGCTCAGAGCTCTTATCCTACTGCCTGCTTCCTGAAATAGACGAAATTAAAGGATTATCTCATCAATCATTTTTAGACAGTTCTCTCTGTATTATCTCCCACAGGTACATGTTTAGCATGGATGTTTCTTTGCCTTTTCTGATGTAAGCCATTTTACTAATACAGAATTTACCTAATTCACTCCCTGCAAGCAAACAGCAAAGTTCTTTGCAGTGAATGTGTGTCCACAGATAGATTTGTTCTACTGTCTTTCCCATTCCATCATTAAAAATTAATTAATTTCTCAAGCAAAACCCAGAAACCAATCAGTAAATACGCAATTTTTGCAGCCCTAAATATATCGCAGTTTAGAGCGCGATGACTGCCACACAACTGTAACTCACATGGCCATCAGAAGGTGGTGACAGTTTATGCAGCAAGAAACTCGTAACAATTCTGGTTAAGGAACCAGAATAAAGCAGACAGCACGCAAAGACAACGAGCACCAACGGGCATCTTCCCTCCACATTATCTAGCCACAGACTTTTAGGAAGTGGTGTTTTCTATTGGGCAGACATCAGGAGAAGCACTTAGTCCAGTTGGCACACCATCTACAGCAACGGGGCAACTTTCCTACAGCACTGCCTTAACATTTAATAAGAACTAGCAGAGGCAAGGGCAGATCTTTTGCAGATGCAAAACAGTCCACCAAATTTCATTCATGGCTGCTTTGTAAGGCAGGAGCAGGATGCGCCATAAGACACTGAGGTGCTCCTCAGAACAAGCTTCAGACATCTCCTTACACTGACTCTGACTGGAACCATGGGCAAATGGCTTAATCTGCATGCCTCTGCTTCTGTACCAAAGGAAAAAAAAAAAAAAGGGAGGCAAGAAATACGCAGGGCCTGCAGGGCTCCACAAATACAGTCAGGATGAATTAATTTTGGGGGGCTAAACTTCTTCCTGAGTAACCCAGAGCAAGCTCACGGGTCTCAGCAGGAGTTTTGGTTCTGAATTTCAAAGTGCTGCAGAAAAAATGAAGCAGGAGAAAATACTGGTACAAGTACGTGTGAATATTTATCGTAGAGGATCTCTCACAAGTGCTGCTGTGGAGGCTTGGAGAACAGGCAGCAGAGCTCCTGATAGTGCATTCTGCTGCCCTGGGCAAGGAGCGAGCAGTCATAAAGAAGGGCTGTGATAAGAGCTGCCTGTAATGCTAGACGTGACACATCAAGTCCAGCTACGCATCTGCTTCTCCTCCAGCCTGCTTGAAGGAGGCAAAGCTGTCATTTAAAGGTAGAGAAGTGGGCTGAATATATACATATTTTTTCTTCAACCTGCAGGAAAAGAACAATTACTATCAGAAAACGTTAAAAGGAAGACTAATTGTTTGTTGTTCATTTCTGATGCAGGATATGTCATTTTGATTCCACTCTGCCTCTTGTAATCACAGTCTAATATTTATCCTTATTTACATCAGGAACACAATAGTTCTGGAGCCCAGAACACCTTCTCACCTCTGCTCCAAGAAAAATCACAAGTTGAATGAAACTCACATGAGAGAGCTGTAAGTGCATGATTAGAAATCTTTGTCTCTTATTCCAAGAGCTAGGAATAAAATGAGACAAGTGAGACTGAGATAAAGGGAACAGGCATGCCCCAAAGGACATACAGCAAATGTTTATCAGGAGCATGGGCTCCATCGTAAAATAGCTTGGGTTGGAAGGGATCTCAAGGATCATCAAGTTCCAACTCCCCACCACAAGCAGGGTTGCCAATCACTGGATCAAGTGCTAGGTTGGATATCCCAGGACTCCATCCAACCTGGCCTTAAACACCTCCAGGGACGGGGAATCCACAGCCTCTCCAGGCATCCATGCAGCAATAACCTGGGGATAGGCAGGGGGTCTTCACACAGCTCTCCTTTGCCAAATTTGGCCACAGCTCTTCCCTTGGAGAAGTTCTTACCTGCCACAGCATGTGGGATGTTTGTGATCATCACCCTCTGAGTCTGTGTCTTGATGCCCGTGTCTGGATTCTGCATCTCCATTATAAGCGCTTCAATCTGCAAAGCGTGGAAAGTTGCTTTTATTGCACAAATAGCCCAGCTGTGCACAGACTCACAGATACTGTATCATTCACCAAGGAAAAAAAGAAAAAAAAAAAAGAAAAGGCAGTATTTTGGCTGGCAACCAAACAGCAAAGGTTCTGTTTCTGGTCTGCAGATAATAACCAGACAGGACTTCAGGAGAGCAGCAGGAAAAGCACACTGCTTCGCTCCAGGGCTGAGCAAGAGGTGCAAACACCAGGGAGATGAGAAGTGCCCATCCTTTGAGAAAGTACAGCCACGTTGAACCAAGCCTCTGAAGCAAGCAAAGGATCGATTACAACAGAGACCAGCGTTCACATGTTACATTTACATCCTTCTCTTACCCTTGACTTCCTGATAACAGCATCCTAAAAGTGCAAGAATGTCACAGTATGCTCAGGATGGGTGGGCCTGGGACGTGCTCACCTCCTCCTTCCATGTGATGCTCAGCTGAGGGCTATGAGAGCTTTGGCACTGTGAGATGGTCTGATGTTTGCTTCTGCTTCCAGAGACATTAAATCAGAACTGGTCCAACAAGACCAATTTAGTCTCTCTGCACATCCATTTCAGGAGAAGCTGTAGCCTTTTAACTAGGATTTGTGGATTTAACAAGTGTGACTTGATGACACTTATGCACAATGAAGGGCATTGTTTTCACAGGCACCACAGTGACTTTGGCCCTGAGTCTTGCCAAATTCAGTGAGGATTTAAGCCCATAGTGACAGGATGCAATCTAGGCTTAACAGCAAAAATGAATTTTCAGCTGTCCTTTAAGCCAGTGTCAAATTAATACTAAAACAGAAAAATCTGGTAAAAATTCACACAAATACTTGTATATAAATACTTTGAGACAGCAAAACCAGACCCGAAACAATGGAACATAATATTCTTTTTCTGTGTGTGTGATATTTTAACTGAACCCTGGGCTGTGGCACCAGAGATGGGACCAAAGGACACAAGAGTGCCCTTATCCAGCACTCTGCCCCCTGCAGCAATAGCACCATCTCTGCCAGGCTCAGCATTCCCTTACTCCAAGGGATACTGGGATGCAGAGACAGCAGTGCCCATCACCACTGGACTGCTGCACTTGTTGCCTGCAGTAGAGCACAGCATCCTCTGCCTCAGTCTGCATGGCTGGAGCACCTCAGGGCTGCCTTCCCCTCCTCAGTCAGTTCCAGACAGGTCTTTAGCAGCCAAGAGTGTGGAACTGGCCTGGAAGCCCCCCTGCACCTCCCAGCACAGCACGTTCTTCACTACGAGCAAAGAGCTCCTGACTGTCGTCGCATTCATTCTGTTTTGGGCTCCCTCTTATCAATGGAAAAATAATGTATGCCAAAAAGAAACAAGCGAGAGGAGCCAGGGAGCTGCTGCTGCCGGGGGGTGCCTGCTGCTCTGGCTGCAAACCAGGCACTTTGCTGATCAATACTCTGCCTGCCTGTTCCTCTCCTCCCAAGGGAACACTCTGCTTTATGGCAGGTTGCTGGAGGCAGGAGCCAGCCAGCGGGAGGCCAGAAGGGCTGCTTAAAATACAGCAAGAACATTTGCTTGCTTTGCTAAGGGCTTTCACGCATTTTGTCACACTTTCAGCCAGAGAAGCATTGTCTGGCTTTAATTTTGTACAGCTAGAAGCCACTTCCTGCCTTTGATGATGGGTGGAGATGTGCAGAGGTAAACATCAGCAGGAAAACTGCTAACGGAGCCAGGCAATGGGGTGAGCTCACCTCTAGCACAGAGCCACAGAAAACCATGAACCCCACTGAGGTCTCCCATTAGATCAACAGGAATCTCTGCACAGAAATGCCTTCACCCCAAAAGCCAGAAATACAACAGGAAAACTGTGTCCTAACTGCAAGTCAGAGAGACAGTTAAGTGACAAGCAAACCTCTTACATTCATGAACCATAAGAAAAAGGATCACTGTATTTTGGGGACACTGGCAGACAATCAGTGACTGCTGGGGCAACACAACCCTGGTGAAGGCTTTCTCATGGGAAGGAGCAGTGGGGACAGGTGGCAGCTCGGTGAGGGGCCTGGTCACACTTCCCATGCCTGTTTCTCCTGGCTTTATCCTCTGGGCACCCACCAGGGTCAGGGTGTGCTGGGTGCAGGGTCTGAACACAACAGCAAGACGCCAAAGGGAGGAGTTCAGCCCCCTCATGAAGGCACAGGCATCTCCATTCATGATGTCAGACACATTTTCCCAGCAGGCTCCAGCTTTGTGCAGTGCCCACTCCTGGTGCTATAGTTAAACATCTGCTGCCTCCTCCAGCAGGAATGCTTGAGCAGTTATAGTCCCACTCACTGCCTACTAAAGATCATCCCTCTCCATTCTGACTTCTCCCAGATAGCAACGCAGTATTTCACTGCTACTCTGGGCTCAGTTTTTTAGGTCTGCAATTAACAGCCCTGCTTTGCACATTCATAGATGATGAGGGGAAAAAAGAAAAAAAAAAAAAAAGACGAGTCATTTGTTAACCAGCTAAAACTCCCTGCTTTTCCTTAAGCAAGACTAAGCAGGAAGATTTTCCCACCCCAACACAGCAAAGCAATCCAACATCAAAGAGAAGTAAATCCACAAATGGGGAAAAGGAGCTGCAGCTGTCTCTTGTGCCATGCATTGTCTTTTCTCACTGGACCACCATCTCCATTCCAAATTAAACCCACAAGGAAACAAAACCAAACCAAAAGACAGCCCTGCCTAGCTGCACATACAGCTTCTCACCAGGGATGCTCACAGCATTTCACACTGCGTGCAGCACTTCACTCAAACAGCACTGGCATTTCCACTTCTAGATGGGAAGGGCCCCAACCCTCTGAGATGCCTTGGTGATGAACTTCTTGTACCTAGGAGACAGCACAGGGAATGAGGAAGAGAATCACCTGCCCTTTGCCAGCACAGCCCCTGCCTGTGCACTCAGACTAACTCATCCATGGGACAAAACACATGGCATCAAAGAAGCCAAGAGGCTGACAGCTCAACTCTGGCAACTTTCTGAACCTCATTTAAATGGAGAGCAGGAGCCTACAGAGAAGCCCCTTCCAGCCACGACACAATTCCAGCACTAAGACATCTTTAAAAACATCTGGAAAGACAAGAAGCAACTGAATAGTATCAGATGGGAGAATTCAAGCCAAGATGGAGCTGGGCTGGGAAACCCCAACCAGTGCTGTGAATCTGGTTCATCTCTGCCTGCCTGGACATCAAGGAACTGAATAAGGAAGAGGCAGAGAAAAAGGCAAGCGGCATCCATCAGCCCAGCCCACGAGGTCTGAGTCATGATGCAGCTCATGTAGCACAGCAGAGGAAAACACAGAGCGCACCAGGCGCTGGGAGCACAGCCCATGCTGCTGTGTGTCTTGCTGCCTGCCACCCTGCGAGGCCAGATCCTTACTGCTGGGGCAGCACAAACCCATGGCTACAGCAGACGTGTCAGCCCGTGGCAAAGCCTAAGCACAGACTTAAGCAATTAACGAAGCTTCTCTCTCTGATTTTAGCTCCTCGAGGCTCTAAGCCTCCAAAGCGCTCGCTGGATGCGCGCCAATCATCTTCAGCTCCCCTCTGGGACAACACTCAAGGATTTCAGGGGATGTGAGCATCACCATGTACACGCTGCAGTGTAACAGCTGAGGCTCTGTCCATGGCTTCCCCAAGGACTGAAAAAGCAGAGAGAAGAGCCAAAGCCTGCTCGTGGACCATCCAGGGGTGTCCTTTCACAGTGCTGCTCCCAAAGCACTGTAACTACTCAACCCCCCTGCCTCTTGCAGAGTGAATTGTGTGTGCTCCATAAGCAGCGCTGTATTTTAAAAGATCTTCCCACCTGAGGAGCTCAGAGCACTTTGCAAAGTCTGCTAACACCCACGGAGCAGCTGAAGCACAGCTGTGGGAGGCTGTTTTCTCAAAGCATGCAGCCTCTCCCCTACACCTCTGCATGAAACCCCACAAAGTATTACTTAGTGCAGAATGTGGCCCTGTGTATTTCCTCTGCAGGGTTTCCCTGCCAAGTGTACCTTGAAAGACACAAATGTATAATTCCTGCTTCCTTCCTTGTGAAAAGCACTGCCAGGCTCATACCTGAGCACTGAATAGCCCCTGATTTCCTCACTTGTATCCCTGGAACCTTTGTGTCTCTGTAGGCCGTAGGCACTGCAGGAGAGCTGACTCGAATAGCAACCGGCTGGCTGTCACTGGAAATTCAGCTAATTCCACTCAGCAAGATAAGCCACAGGCAGGAGAGGTGGGTGGAAGAACAGCCAGCTTAACACTCTGCTTTTAAAAATCTCTGCAGATATTGGTTGAGCTAAAACCCAGCTACACTTTTGAATGAATGCTACAAGGAAGAAAAAAAAAAACCAACCCAACACTGAATACAACATTACGCATCACATCCAAAAGCGTAGGCATGCATCTTCCCACTCTTTCAACTGTTTGTGGTCACAAAGACGCTCGTCTATGAACATGTGAAGGGAGGCAGGAAGCAAGAGCTGGCCATGACACACGCTCATAAAGCAGACAGCAGCGGAGCGGGTGGGAACGCAGCGGAGGATACAGCCTCGGCCATGGCACGGAGTTTTCCCCCAGGGAACGACTGGGTTGCAGGGATTTAGGGGAAAAGACAAGAGAGGGAAGAAAACCACCCGAGTAATTCAGCTAAGCTAATAATGAAAATATAAATAACTTTCAAATTACAGCTTTCTTGTCCCCGTGACTTCTGCACACGCTGCTTCTCAGCCACCAGCCGAAGCCCCGGTGCCGGGCGCTCCACGTGGCCACACGGCACAGCCCTGGGGACGATGCTCTCCCCGGCGGGCAGCACGCTGCCGGGGGGCTCCGGGGAGCAGCGCCCAGCAGGATGCTCGGACGGCTCACATGGACGCGGGGACTGCTGCCCGGAGCGCCATCAGGCAGGGTGCGATCTGTGCCCCCGCTGCTGACGCCCAGAGCGGCGCTGCCTGTCACCCGGAGCTCCTCAGCTCTCACCTTTTTCAGGAAGGCCATCCGCGGCCGGTAGCGCTGCCCCTGGTCCAGCCGTGCGACGGTCATGGTGCTGCCGATGGGCGGAAAGCGCGGCGAGCGAACGGGCAGAGCGGCAGCTCCAGCAGCGCACCTGGCCGCAGCCCCCCACCGCCGGCTCCTGTCCTCGCCGAGGGTGGCGCCGCCGCTGTGCGTCGCGGCCAATCAGCACCCGCCGATCCACTCACATTTACATGCAGGCGCGGGGCGGCACGGCTCCCGCCTCGGGGCGCCAGTGAGAGCCGGGCGGGGCTGAGAGAGAGGGAGCTTCAGGGAGCGCGGGCTGCGGGTGGGTGACAGCGCACATAGGAAGCTGTCCTCGTACAGTGTGCGCTGGTGTTTGGGAGGGCAGCTGGCAGAGCCCCCCAACACTGCTCTGCCCCGGGGAGAAGAGTCTTCCCAAAACGCTCCCAGCGTGCAGCTGCTGGGATGAAGCAACGCGAGAGGCGGGCGGCATTCGGGCAGCTGCACCTGTAACTGCAACGCCGCTGCCTGTCAGCCAGCAGGGCGGTTTGGGGAACTCAACGGATTTGTCATGCGGGGAAATTATGACTAACGGTGACCAGAGGAACAGCACAGGGTTACAGCGTGCTTCCTCACGACAGAGCTGCCTCATGCCAGTGGGTGGGGGAACAGAAACCTGACTGGCAGCACTAAAAACCAAGAGCTTCGTGTCTCTGATTTCTTCAGTGGTGGGATTTCCTCCTGCTGCCAAGGTTTGGCCAGACAACACAGCCAGGAGGAGAGGCGGCCCTCACTCACCTGCCCAGCATGGCCGGCGTTGTCACACATCCACAGACACACACAGGGATCATACAGGCACACTGATTGCCCACACGTTCACACGCAGCACTGCTGTTTTGAAGTCATGCATTGGAGCGTCTGCACCTCCCATGCACGTCCTTTGCTGCTTCTTGAGGCACTGCCTTCCTCAGCACAGCCAGTGCTACTGCCCTGACATTGCAACCCGTGCACTGGAGGAAAGCACACTGGCTCTGAATACAGAGCCAAGTTCTTTTCCATTCATGTAACACCCTGAGGGCATGGGCTGCTTTCCCAGTTGCTCTGCTGCCCTCATGGAAGGGTTTTATCTTTATCTCTGCTCTTTCATACTATCTGAACAAGCCAGTGCTTTGGAAGGCCTTTCTTCTGTGTCTGCTTTCAGTCATTCCCATGTGAAATCCCCCTGTGAGTCACAGCAGCCGCTGAATCGCAGACACTTCTTACTTTCCAAAGGCTTTTCCACCGTTCTCTGCTCTGTGCTGCTAGCTAGCATAATGACAATGAGTAACCTGTCATTCCATTAATACCAAAGTTATCACACCTCATGCTTCACGGCGTCAGCTGACTGCCAGAAGGAGAAGTTCTTCATGCATTTGCAGTGCTCGTAGTTCCAGTGTTGTGTTGCTGTTTGGTTTTTCAAAACAAGCTCAGATCCTGGTGGCCCTCTGATACTGCCAAGGTGACAAACTGTAGTAGCACAGACCGTTCTGTAGGCAAACAGCAGGAGAGAGGGAATCAAAAGTGGGGTGAGATGAGGTAAGGGAAATAACAGGGAAAACATGCAAGCATTTAGAAGGTGTTAAGTAAGACAAGTGATTCCATTTCTGAGAAGGAGAGATAATGTAAGTAACTCTTTTGGACACGATATCAGGGAAGAAGGCCCTGAAAAAAGATGCAGTTCAATGTCTTGGCTTTGTAAGCAAACTGAAAAAAATCACAGTAAATTGCAAAAGGTTTCTCTAACTGGCTGTTGGCGTTGCCCCTGCTGTGTTGTGGAAGGATCCAGAAGTTCTCCAGATGACATGCAGACAACTGGCCTAAAAACAGGATCAGTCACCACCAACCACAGGTGCCCCACACAGTTAGAGGAGCAAAAATGGCCATTTCACACCACAAGGCTCACTTTAAACGTTCCACTGAGCCACACAGGTGTCTCATTTAGGAGAGAAAACGTGGTCTATAAGTGAATGCAGAAAAACAAAATTTCCTTGCAGGAGAGCCAGGAGAAATAGCTTTGAAAGCACCCAAGCTGTGGTGTGAGCTCTAACCTTGCTGAGCTCCAACACTCTTGGTAATTTTAAACCCTGCTGTTCCACCCTAACACCTCCCTCACAGCTCAGGTTTGGATTTTTTTTCAGTTTCTAGCCTTCTCTGAGAAGCTAAAATAAAATGTGAGAGCATTTCTCTGTGTATTATAAATCTGTTTCATGTCATTGTTGTAAAAACGTCAAACATAAGCCCAACAGTGATACTATTTAGAAATGACGCAAACCACCAAAGAGAGATCAGAGATGAACTGTGTTTCACCTGCTGCCCAGGTGAATTGCACCAGCAGTTAATGTGTGATGGCAGCTTTGCCATGTGAAGCACGAGGCACTTCAATCAGATTATACAAGTTCACGAAGCGCAGACAGTCCTGAGCTTCCCATGACAAAACCCTCACCTGTGGAGAGCAAACAGACTTTTTCCATCCCTGATACAATCTGGCAGATTTATAGGTGAATTTGTCAGTCAAAAAAGCTTGTGCAACAGGGCAGAGCAGAAGAGTGCCAGCAGAAGCCATGCACACTCCCTGTCTTCCTGCTTATTTCCAGCTCCCCCTGTTACGGACTGATGTCCTTGTGAAGTCCCTTTCAGTAATGCTTGTTCTCACCAGGCAGGTTCACTGTGAAGGCAACAATTCTTGTTACTTTCTGTTGTGGAAAACACTGCAAGTGGAATCCCCCGTTTTTTGAAGATCACATTTCCTAAGTGGTTGCCCCTTCTTCGCACATCAGAAGTTGAATCATGCAACACAAAAGACGTGTGGTGACTACGTTTCTATCTGAGGAAACTGGGGACAGCAGCGAGGGGAAGGAAGAGGTAGGTAAAAGAATCAATGAATCAACGTAAATGAATGGCACTCTGAGTGTCAGGCTCAGGCTGAATTTCAGTACGCAGTTCCTTCCAGGAAGATTTCAAAGTAGTTTATCAGAAAATAGTGTAAACTTGGCACAGACAGAGACATGACTTAATCTCAGGTCTCCCAGTAAGGCAACAGTGGAAGCACTGTTTCCGGAGTCCACTGTCCCAGCTGGTAGAGCACAAGCACTGAAAACAAGAGGGATCCTTAATTGCCAAAAAAACAGTAGTGAGCAGGAACGGACAGCAAACATAGTCTCCCATCACTGCTGAACTTTCCAGGGAGTGGCAAAGAAGTGGCAGAGAAGAAGGAAAAAAGGGAAACAGAGAAATACTCTATGCGCCATGCCTCAGAGATGAAACCAGGCTGCTGCTGGGGAGAGAGAACGCAACCAGGCTCACAGCTGATGCAGTACTGAGGCAAATCCATCATCCTTGGGGCAGGAATACCCTCCTCTTGCTGCAGCTGAGGGCCATGCTGCTTTGCCAAGGGAGGGGAATGGTGCACCTAAGCAGCCTTGGAAAGCTTGGCAGCTGTTGGGAGTGAGAGGAGAGGACAGTGCTGGGAGGAGGCCAAGGGTGACCCTGCAACTTGGTGACTTGAATAGCTGGAAATACAAGTATCGGAAAATTGGGTGACAAATTTGAGACAGGGACCTGCACAGGGAGGGGCAGCAGGAAGCAGCTGATAGTGATGGCTGCAGGGGCAGCTGCAGGGAGGGGCTTGAGCAAAGTAACCGGGCGGGCAAGCGGATGGGGAAAAGTGAAGTGAAAGGAGGAAAATGAGGAAGGAAGAGGGCAAAACTAAGACTGCCAAGGAGAGCCAACAGGAGATGGAAGTAGCCTTGAAACAGTGCAGGTAGCTCTAGGAGATACTTCTCTGTCCTGAAGCAGCAAATACCTCTTGTGAGGGATATTCTGGATGAAGGTGATATTACCATGCGGAGACATCAGTAAATAGCTTCTTTCTTTATTCTTTCCCTCATTGTTGTTGCAGCACAGGTTTTATGTGCATTTCTCTGCTGGCACGGAAGGCAAAGACTCACTACGATATCCATGCACAACCTTGACTGTCAGCTATCTTTTCTGCTTTGACTTTTAACCTGTTTCTATGGCTAATTACATCTCTTTTTGTTATGCTTCCTTAGTGGGCATTAACTCACTTCCAAAAAGAAGACAACCTGTATGGTCTCTATGCTTTGCCCTCAGCTTTAACTGTCTCCATCACTGGGATGCAACAAACATTCATTTTCCCTTATCAAGAACATCAAACATTTTGAAGGAAAGCAGTTACAACTTCCACCTCACTGGCATCACTTGCTCTGCCCACCCCACTAAGAGCAGCCAAATTTCAGGAAAACTTCACTACAAGACACATCAGAACGCTGGATTTGCTCATTTAATGTTGGTAAATAAACACCCCGCTCACTTTTTATCACTGTGAGGTGTGTGCTCTGTGGTTTGCTCAGTCTGTGCCACAGCGCAGCACTACTGGAAAGCTCTCAGAGCACCGAAGAGGAAATGCGTGCCAAACCGTTCTGAGCGTTTTCACAAAACCGTTTGCTTCTCGTACCGAGAAAAAAAAACCGCTGAGCTGGCAAAGCTCCATCCTGCTCTTCTGACCGAGGGCTGACCTCCCCCGGCCAGCTTCCCAGCACCGTGCCAGACCGTGGTAAAGGTGCTGTTGCCCAACCCAGCCAGCCCAGGCTTCGTTTTCCCTCAGAGTCACTTGGTCCACATCAACGAAACCCGCCGCCGCCCCCCGCCATTTCCTGTCAGGAGCCGCTGCCGCGCGGGACTCCCGCCCAGAGCGGGCGCGACTCGCGGCCACGTGACGCTCCCTAGCGCGCTGGAACCGTCACGTGACGCAGGCGGTCACGTGAACGCGCGTGCGAGGCGCGAGGGCACGTCCTACGCCGAGGGTGGGGCGGTGGATGCGCATGCGCGGGCAGAGAGCGGGCTGGTGCGGGCCGGGCCGGGCGGCCGCTCCCCTCGCTGGCAGTGCTCGCTAAGATGGCGGACTTCCTGCCGTCGCGCTCCGTGCTGTCGGGCTGCTTCCCCGGCTGCCTGCTGACCAGCGGCGAGGCCGAACAGCAGCGCAAGTCTAAGGAGATCGATAAGTGCCTCAACCGGGAGAAAACCTACGTGAAGCGCCTCGTCAAGATCCTGC